TTTCCCTATACATGCTTCATTGGTATTTTTCTTTCTACAGATTTCCAGCTACACTTTGCAACTACCTGAAGCCATGCGGTCTTGGAGCACAGAAGCTAACGGCACTGTTGCAATCAGAGGGCTCAGTAAAAACAAAAGGGGCCAGGGCAAAAGCTGAGTGTGAAATGCAAACCCACTCCACAGAAAGGCAGTGGAAAAGCTGGAAAAGTGTGTGGCTGCAGGCAGTAGGAGGAACAGAGCAGCTCTTCAGTAACAAGTTATTGAACAAATCACCTCCCAGTAAATATGTTGTTTACTTCAGCTCCAGAGGCGAGAGAACATATCAGGAGGAGGCAGTGAGCTAGAAACTTCTGAATTTTTGCACTGACAGAATCACAGCATTGATGGGGGACCTCTGAGGTTCATCTTGTCCAGCCCTTCTGCCCAAAGCAGGGTCAGTTGCAGGGGGGTTGCCCAGGTTGACACATGGAAACTTCACAGCCTCTCTGGGCAACCTGTGCCCGTGTTGGACCACCCTCACAGTAAAATGTTTTATTGCGTTCAGATGGAATTTCATGTATTTCAGTTTGTGCCCATTGCCTCTTGTTCTGTCACTGAATACCACTGAGAAGATCCTGGCTCCTTCTTCTTCCTCTCTCCCATGAGGTATTTATGTACATTGACAAGATCCTCTCAAGCCTTCTCTAGACTAAACAGTCCCAGCTCTCTCAGCCTCTCCTCATATGAGAGATGCTCCAGTCCCTTAATCATCTTTGTAGCTCACACTGGACTCACTCCAGTAGCTTCACATCTCTATTGTACTGGGGAGCCCAGAACTGGACACAGGAATCCAGGTGTCCCACTGGTGCTGAGCAGGGGGAAGGATCACCTCCTCAACCTGCTGGCAGTGCTTCTCCTAATGCAGCTCAGGATGCTCTTGGCCTCCTTTGCAGCAAGAGTGTGTTAATGGTCCATGGTCAACTTGTTGTCTACCAGGACCCCCCAGGTCCTTCTCTGCAGAGCCGTTTTCCAGCTGCTCAGCCCCCCGCTTGTCCTGGTGTCTGGGATCATTCCTCCCTGGGTGCAGGACTTTGTATTTTCCCTTGCTGAACTTCATGAGATTCCTCTCTGGCCACTTCTCCAACCTGCCCAGGTCTGTTTGGTTTGTGAGTGACAGAAAGAAGGGGAGACAGAGAGGAGAGGTAGAAAACTCATAAATTTGATGGAAATTAAGAACCTAAATCTGTTCTTCAGTTTACCATGGTGGAAAATCCCTGCAACTCTATCTCAAGTTAACTCAAGTTCAGGTTCTCAGGTTGGGCTTGTTGGTTTTTTGTGGGGTTTTTATTGTTCATTTTTTTGTTTGCTTGTTTTTTTCTTGAAGAACAAATACTTAGTAATCCTCAAAAATGCCACAGTGCTTTTTGCCTGTGGCTTCTCCTGATGCTATTCTGTTGGATCCAACTTGTTTCTACTCAAATCTGTCCTGATGAGAACAGGTGCAACTCAGATGAAATCATGATGACTGTATATAGTCCCATATGTCACAGAGTGGAAAAAAATTAATAGCATCTAGTAAATTACAAAGCAAAATCAAATGTGTAGTTTCAGTTACCTTTACTACTTTGTGCAGTCTGAGAAATACTTTTTGCTCTTGTGAAGCTTGACAACAGCTCATTGAAAAAAGCCAATGGGTTTTCGACAGTTGGTATTTAATATTAAATGTCTCTGTATCTGCAAGCATAAGCTACTAATGGGAAACATATCTATGGGAACACATGCCCATCTCAACCTGTGGTCTCATCTCTGGTTTTGATTAAATTCCTGCATTTACAGCAAAGGAAGCAACAAATTTACAACTCTGTAGGTAAGAGAAGATAGTTGAACAATTGCTCCATCTTGAGTTACAGTTCATTTATTTTTATCTATCGGTCAATACAAATACATTCTGTTACAGGTTTGGGATTTGGGAGAGTTTTCAGAGAGATCCCCTTTAAATAGTTAATTCTTTTCCTAAGACCTATCATCAATTACAGTGAAAAGTGACTTACAAGAAATTTTGTTTAGATGACAAAATATTCCAGAGATTAAATATATTCATCAAAACAGTCTGGCTCAGAGAACCTGCAGGCTTAAGTTCTTTTATTAGTCAGCAAGTTTTTTGACCTTTGTAAGGAGCTAATCACCACTGTAGGTCATTACCACTTACCACAGTGTAGGTTCACTTTTAAAAATTGCACACGGACTCCAGCATCATCTGAGTGGTGTTTGGCACTGAACAGCTGCGTTCCTAGTGATTATATTTACACTGGGCTTTCCACATTTCTCTTTTAAAGCCTGTGTAGTTAACAACAGAATGTGTCTTGTTGCTGAAGGTATTGGCAGCTCGGTGGGAGTGTATTTTTAACAAATCTGGTCGGGAGGTCTCCTGCAGCTCCCTGGCCCCTCGGCTTGCTGGGCAGCAGTGCCGTGTGCGGGGAGAGCCGTCGCCCTGTGCTCCTGCTGAGACTGGCCCAATTCCCTCACTCCCATCTGACCACAGGATCCTGCTCATAGTGCTGCTGATTATTTTACTGCAGAAATTGAGTGCCAAGTTACATTTTGGGCAGGGGGAAAGCATAACTCAGACTATGGCATCCCAAAGAGGAGTGAGATGGTGAAAGATCATCCATTTCTCACCATCTCATCTCTGACCTCTCCTTATGGTGATGGGGAAAGGGGCAGAGGCATTACCGCTTTCCTTCTCGTCTCTTTCTGCCTTCTGCAGGTATACTTTGCACCTCTTGAGTGTCAGAGCACAGGTCTGCCTGTTCGTTATGCAGATCCTCGTGTCCCCTCTCCACCCCAGCATGTATTCGTGAAATTACTGTGCACAATTTAGCCCAGAAAGTCCTCACCAGTACAAACATCTTATGCCTAAAAGACACAGGAGCTATTCGGTTGCTAGCTATGGTGGCTGTATGCAGATCTTGCAAAAGAAACCTCTGCTTTGTACTGGTATCCAGTAAGAACAAGCTACAGGATCAGTGAAGGATGTGAAGGAGTTGTGTGATTTAGGATTCAGCAGCAGAAGCTGCCCCCTGGAGGAACAAGTCAGGCAAATTAGATGCAACAGGGTCCGAAAATAACTCCACACATTCAGCAGTGAGCATCGTTACTGTAGTCACTTTACTAAGTTAACCAAAGAGACCCAAAAACTGAAATACAGAAACTTTATACAGAACAAGTTGGCAGTACAAATAAACAAAAGCAACATTCTCCAAGAAATGGATTTTAGTCATGTTTTATAAACATCAATAAATACTGAACAAGACATGAAAATTAAAAAAGAAACAATATCAACTACTTTAAATTGTCTCAATATTTATAATTTAAGCTGATTTTTGTTACTTTTGCAATAGGGATTTCATCCAGAAGTCCTTATCTAATTAGAAAAGGAAAAAGAAAAGTAGTCAGTATATTACTGCTACAAAACCAGGGAAGGGGTCAGAACTACAGCAGAAAAATGACACATCCAGTTAGAACCATATTGCAGTTTGGCAGGAATACTCTTACTGAACACCCTGTATGCATGAGAAAAAGACAGCATCACTATTACAGGCAGGAAACGATGATCAAATGTCATTATCCATTGTCCAAAATGGAAAAGAACATTATTAAAAGGGGAAATGAAGACTAGAAAAGGAAAGAAAAAAAATCCCTAAGGAAACTTTAAAAGACACCTCTTCATAATAGCGTTCTAAGGCAAATGATGCATGCACTGCCTCCCCAAGAAACTAGACAGAGCTCTTCCATTCCCTGTGTGTTTCCTTTCATTTAGTTTCATGAAGAAAGGTTTGAGAGAGCAGAGCGCTGGGAAGAAATACTACAAACCTCTAAATTAGTGAAAGAACTTCCAGCATCACTATTATATTCTGGGTAGGAGGAACTGGAAGAAATTATGTTTTTCAGCCTCTGAAGTGCAATGATCAATAGCAAAAGGAGAAAAGCTAGGAGACTAAGGAATATAGAAACATACACATAGACGTTGGATAAACGACCAGGTGATGAATCCACTGAAGTTGAAAGGGATGTGGGATACAGCTCCAGAAAAGTCCCATTTCCCATGTTTCCTACAAATCCAGATGAAGGGTCGGGTTCTGACATTTCTGTGTTTCTGTTTTAAGAGGCAATTTTAGCAGCATAACAAAGGCTTTATTTTAGGCGACCATCTTTCCATCACAACAAAGAGATGACAAGTCAGCCAGTAATCAAATTTATCCTTTACTGCTCAAGCCAGATTGTGTCAGATTGTATCCTTCAGAACTGCAAGAAAAAAAAAAAAAAGGCAAGATTAATTTACTAGCAGATAATGTGATTTAATGTGCACCTGAGACAATCTAGTTCTTAAGAGTTACAGGTTATTATTCTTTAGCACTAGGCTGCAATTCTTAAAGCATTAGCTAACAGCTATCTTTATATCTCTGTTCTCCAAAATTCAGGAATTAGGAGAAATTGTACCCATCAATGAATTAAAATTGACCCTTCCCTACCATGAGTTGTTTAACTGAGACACAGCACAATAAAAAAAATATACTTTATATGGGACAGACATATTGGAATCAAAATATGTCTTGTGCATAAAAGCTAGTCAAGGAATGAAAATCCTTCTCAAGACTTCAGCTCCCCAACCTAGATGATCAAGGCTGCTCAACACTGCAATGGATGACACATCCACTACCATTAGTCACCTACTCCACACTGCCTTGCCAGAGGTACCCAGAGTGAGAAAATCTGCCAGACCTGCTTTCTTACTATGTATTTATGAAATGGATCAAACCATTTCAAAGATCAAAATGCATTTTGCTGTAATGCTGCCATGGGGATCTCTGTGGCAGGCATGTTTCAGTGAAGTGTTGCAGCTTCTGACACCTACAAGCCCGAGGGAACGGGCAGCCCTGGCAGCTCAGCAAGTGCAAGGGGACTACCTAAGGGCAGCAGCGAATGCTAAGGAGATCCCATCTTTGAAAAAGGTTTGCCTCCAGACACTTTGTGTTTGAACTTGGAAGCTCAGGTGCAGGCAAAGGTCACAGTAGCATGGGACAAGCAGAAAAGGGTATGTTAGGCTGCTTTTCTTTAAACTGACATATTTAGTCCCAAGGCACAGTCTGGAAGTGTAAGAGAAGGTTTGGTGATGGGGAATTGCTTGTAAAAAGCTGATGCTTTGTAGCTGAATTACATGGTGTAAGCCATTGCCTTCGTTTTGATACAAAACAGATAGTGTAAGGTGAAAGTGGGTAGGAAATGAAGCTCATTTTCTGCATATAATCTATAATGTAATCTTTCTATCCATCCATCCATGGTCAACCTCTCATTGGAGATACTCAGACACTACAGGGAAAGGCGGTGAGCCTTCCTCCCGCTAGGAAGACAATATCCATACAGAGCTGTGTTCCCAGCTTGGTCCCTCTCATCCTGACCTTGCTTTTGGCTTCGTCCCGTGGTCCCAGTTCAATACAATTATCTCTAACTCACAGTTAGAGGCTTTGAGGAAAATCCCACTGATTTTCATGGCAACAGAGAGAGCAAACACTGTCAGCATCAGCCAGAGAGACAGAATCAGGCCCTTGAATTAATGATGCGACAGTCTGGGGTCTCTCCTGTGTGTCACACAACTGCCCAAGTACTTCTCCGAGTTTCCATGAAAATGTCCCAGCACTGTTCCCGGCAATGGTCTGCCTTATAAATTTTCCTTCAAGCATGCTACATCTGCTAACTTAGTAAAGTACATCTTACTTGAAAAGGCCGATACTTTTTGACACTAGGTGTGACCACAGAAGCCCCAACCTGAACTAAAGATGCTTAAGAAGGACAAGGTACTTTTCTCCTGGTGCTGTTTCTTCTCTGAGAGCACAGAAGCTTTGGAGACACCCACTGAAAATGCCAAGAAGTTTGCTTTGCAGTCACTGGAGTTATTTGCATAGTTACCCACCATACTTTTGCACTGTAAAGTTAATTTATGAGGTTATGCTACATGCCATAAAAAGCCCTAAGTGCCTGAGTAAACAAGGACTACATCATGCGGTAGACAGAATCTAATTCTACATTTTTAAACCCTCATTTATTTTCTATACTTTGTTTTATTGTGGAGCTTTTGGTAGTCTTAATCAAGCATCCCAATAGCCTGCAAGATATGCAGGAGTACAAAACTGCATCTGCAAATACCAGAAAAAAAGAATATTCTTACCCTTGTGGTATATAACTCATATTTATCCATAAAATATACTAAACAAAAACCATTTTATAACCTTAATAGCATTTACCCCCACAAGAAAAAGCATTTATTGTACCTTGTGAAATAAGTCAAAACAGACTGAACAAAGAGAGATCCTTATGAGATTATACTCCTTTTGAACCATCTTTAATTTAGTGATCTAAAATTAACTAATGGAACAATACGTGCTCCTTTCATGTTCTGGAAGCAGTTAAGTGTGTTATAGATACTTTATCCTTTTTAACAGATAAGCTTTGATATAGAAGATGTTCATCCTTGATTAGTCGTCATAATGAAAAGCAGATCCATTATTAATTAAATTTCTCTATAATAACTTAAGGAATTAATTCACGTAAATTCTTTAACATGGCAGAAGTTAAAACCCCTTAAATTCTTCACAAATTTGAAATCCACTACATTCTACTTCTACCATTAACAGTTCTGGCCCTGGTACAAGGAAGAAATTTGATGCAGGACATTCTTTGAAGTTAGTGGAAAATTTATGGTCTTAAACAGGACTGATCAGAACCTCACAGCTAAGCAGAGATGTGAGTGCTTTGATAGATCAGAGCCTTTACAGGTTTTACAATGTCAAGTAGGCTATTTTTAACCAAGTATTCTGTAGTGAGATCAGAGACACTGTAAACTTCGATTCTAAATTACTATGGCCCAGATCCTAGTTGCCTCACTCACACTGTGTAGTGATGTGATGTGTAAATGAATCTCACTATAAAATGTAGCTGCAGATAAAGTGTCTCTTTGGGTAATATTTTAGCAAGAAAAAAAAAACCTGTTGTTTTAATCACACATTTTAGCTCCAGATTTTTAAATGTAAGGTCCTACTCAGTCTAAAAGGATTTTTACCAACCATCTGTACCCTGTTGGAGTGAAACAGCGAAATCTTATGGAGTGTGAACATATCTGGTCCTGATATCTGAGCAGCATTCATAGGAAAAATACAAAACATGTACATAAATAAAATGGATCTGATCCTGATCCCTGATGACATTCCCTGGTGCTATTCCAGCACTACAGCCCTGCTGGATATCAGCCAGGCTGGCTCAGCCAGCAACGCGGGGCAGGGGTGCAAACGCTGTTCTGGGCCAAAATGTGACTACACAGTCCTAGGGCTGCACGAGCCTCTGCCATGCTGCAAATCAGACCTCCCAGCCTTCAAAAGTGAGATCCACAAGCAGCTTTATTTAGTGCACCAGAGCTATTGCTTCGGCTCAGGTTCCTGCTTCTGCCAGGAAAAAGTGGCAGGAACCATTTGTCTCTCTTACCCTAATCCTCCCAAAGGAATAACCCCCAGTAAAGCCACATGTCAGCTTCACCTTCTTGTTTGGTAATTGATTTTGTGCATTTCTGCAAACTAAATAGAACAACATCAAAACATCTATCCCAAATCTCAAACTGAAAGTGGCTGACTGCAATAAACCCATTGTCTTTCTGAGAGCTGTAAACCCATCAAGGAATTCAACTAAGGAACCAAAGTTTCCAAATTCTGTAGTGTTCCCTACCTTTCCCTCATGTGTTGTTGGAAAGCTGAGTTGGTTTAAGGCAAAGACTGAACTCAAAGTGCTGTTGCTGAATGACTGGAGATGGAGAGCAATTTTGACAGGAGAAGGCTTCCCGAATAACCAGTTCTGAAAACTCCTGGGACAGGAGAACTGGGACCTGTCCACTGAGGGACTCAGATTTTGTGGTGTATCTGGATCCAGATTACTTCTCAGAGGCACCTCTGCAATCCCAGGACAGGGATGTGTGGCTCGAGGAGGCTTCCTGAGCCATTGAGCCCATCCCCACCACTGTAGGAAGTCCCAGGTCATACTCTGCCTTTCCGACACCTGCTGAGTTTCCCCGCTACTATTACTCCACTGTTACACACCCCTGCTGCTCCAATGGACAAACTGCTTAGATAGATTCACTCATTTCAGCAAAACTACTCACTGTCCCAAGAAGACACAGACTCCACCTCTTCTCTCTGCCTGTTTTAGGTATACAAGAGAGCAAAACCTTTTTCTGTTACTTTAGTCCCCAAATATGAGGGCTTGCAGGCCAGGAAAAGCTCTGCTAGACATATGGTGTCATTTGTACATCATCACTTTTGAACAAGAACCACTATTTAAGTATTATCCTGCAGCTGTGCATTGTTCCTCCAGTCAGGTTATCAGTATGAATCACTTTTCACAGGTGAGGACAACTACTCTTATTCCAAAGGTAGGGCTACCTGGTAGACACCACAGGCAGCCTCAGTTGGAGTATTTTCATATTTTACCCCATGGTAAGTGGGAGATTACCGGTAAATTGGCCTTCACTGAAAGCAGGGCAAACTGGGGAGGTGAGGGATTAAGTAAATCATTGCTATGTAAAGAGGTAAATCCCCAGTACCATGCCTGGGTAGCCATGACAAAGCTATCAACTGTTTGCATCTTTGATGGCACCTGTCATAAAACCTGTTTCTTCAGAAAATGGAAATGGGGCCAGGAGCAGAGGCCTCATCAATTAGCATATGCTCTGGGTGCCAAATTATATGTAACATATGCAATTTAATCTTGAGCATAGCTGAGACAGTAGTCATCTCCCAGTTCAAAGGTGCATGTTAAGTGAGACTGCAGCGCTCTCCAGGATGTCATGCAGTAAACCGAGAACTTCTTCGTAGTCCCAGTGTCATACTTTACCATCCAGTTGTCTGTGTTGTATTTCTCTGCATATCTTGATGCAGTAACTATTTCTTCAGGCTCAGTGAAATACAATTGAACGGAGCACCCTCACTACCACTGAAGCCCAAAAACTTGAGGAACAAGAATCAAAGGTAAGTCTAGTAGAATCATTTTCTTGGGAGTTTATCAGCCATAGATAAGAACTTTGTTTTCTTGGTTCTTCCTGGCTTTTTATGACTACAA